CGACGCACAAGAGGAGCAGAGCCGCTCCGCTTCCCGCAGTAAGACCCTCGACTCTCGCTCATGTTGGGACAGCCAGCCTCAGCACGTCCCCACTGAGAGCCGGCCGCCACGGCCCACCACTGCACCGGCGGCACATCACGCACCATGCGGTGGGATGAGTGCCACTGCCCACGCCACCCCTCCACTCCGCCCCACACACGGGCCCTGAAGCAGGGTCAATAGCGTGCAGTGATGCATTTCAGAAAAGGATTTTATTCAATAGCTCTCCGTTAAAATGTCTTCAGATATTTCAACGTAATGACAGTAGTGCTTTGGCCCTCGACTAGCAAATGAATACTTAAGACAAACTGTTTTTCCCTCCATTGGGGATGAGTGTCACTTGACACTCACCTGAGTAGGAGTGATGCCCTGCTGCTCATTGGGGGTTAGTGACAGAGAGGGACTGAGCTCCAGCTCTGGCCACTGCACCGCCTTAACCAAATTATTTACACTTCCCAAGTCTGGCTTCTCACAAGTAAGTGTGGTAATGACGTGCCTAACACTCTGCAGTTACGGACTGCAGTGGCGTGGCCATCCCCCCTGGGGGTGATTTTCACTGCTGGGTCAGGGACTTGGACGGATTGACTGCGTGAAGTCCAGTGACACAGCCATGATGCCGTTCACTGGCCCTCATTATGGGCTTTTAATACCATAAAAGCAATAGCTGTGGGACCAGCAGGTGGCTTGGTGGTTAAGGCACTGGACACTCCCACATGGCCGACCACGGTTTGAGTCCTGGACCTGGGGGCCAGTGAACGGCATCATGGCTGTGTCACTGGACTTCACGCGGTCAATCCGTCCAAGTCCCTGACCCAGCAGCTTAAAACTCACGCCGGGACTCCCCGCCCACCTGGACACTTAAGCCTGGTCTGGACAGGCCTCCTTGGGTGAGCCTGCACTTGGGGCTGTGAGCAACGCTGGGCCTCTGGCACTCCAGTCTGCAGGCAAGGCTCGGGACTTAACCCCCTGCGCTAAGGTCTATCTCCTGAGCTTGCCACCACCTCATGAGCTGAACGTGTGGCAGAGGAGCCCAGCACCTGAAATTACCCACAGCTGCTCTGACCTGGGACACAGAGCCCTCCAATAGGGACACACCTGGGAAGTAAGGGTGAGATTTCCTCTACCCATACTACAGAATCTACTCCAATAAATAGAAAGACGCAAACACCGCATCAGATGACTGAGAACCAGAACAGATCTGAAAGAAACATGAGCGCACAGGGGTAACTCTCCCCCAGGTGAGCGTAGTGGCCCTCACCAACAGGGGATAGCACAGCGGAATACACAGAAATGTCAGAAAAAGAATACTGAACATTCATAGTGACAAAACTCAGTGAGATGCAAGAGAAAACTATCAGCTCCAGCAAGTGAGAAATCATTTCAGGACATGGAAAAGGAATTTCATGAAAGAACAGATACCCTAAAACAGAATCAGACAGAACTTCTGGAAGTGAGACTACAATACAAGAAATTAAAGTCTCCTCTAGAAAGCATTAACAGCAGACTGGACAATGCAGAAGAAAGAATTTCTGACCTGGAAGACAAAGTCTTCAACACAGACCAAATCACCAAAAAGAAAGAAAAAAACAACCAAAAAAAAAGATGAGGACGACATTCAGAAAATTCAAGACACCGTCAAATGTCCAAATACCTATATAACGGGTTTTCCCGAAGGTGAGGAATCTGCTAAAGGCATGGAGAACCTCTTTCCTGAACTACTATTTGCAAATTTTCCAAATGTAGAGAAACGGAGAAATTCAACCCCAAGAAATAAAAAGGACCCCCAACAGAATCAACACAAAAAGATCGTCCCCCTGGCACATCATAGCCAGATTGTAAAAAATTAAAGACAAAGACAATAGTCTAAAAATGGCAAAGGAGGAAAGTCAAGCTGCTAACAAAGGCTATCCCATTAGGCTAACATCAGACCTCTCGACGGGAACGATGCAGGCAAGGAAGGAAAGGGGAGACGCATTCAAAGCACTGAAAGGAAAACCATGTCAACCAAGAACACTATATCCAGCAAGGTTATCCTTCAAATAGTTAGGACAAATAAAAGTACCCTCAGATAAAAAGCAAAAGCTGAAAGGACTCACCAATACTAGACCAGCTCTACAGGAAGTACTGAGGGGAGTTTTCTATCAGGATAACTAAAGAGAGACAAATGGAAATAGAACAAAAAACTGAGAAAATGGCCAACAAAATGACAAGGATAAATCTGCAAATATCAGTAATAATGTTAAATGTTAATGGATTCAATTCTCCCATTAAAAGATACAGACTAGCAGAATGGATACAAAAGCAGAAGCCATCTATATGCTGCTTACCTGACAGGACGTACATAGACTGAAAGTGAAGGGCTGGAGAAAGACATCCCACGCAAATGGAAACCAGAACAAGGCTGGAATAGTGACACTGCTATCAGACAAAACAGACTTTCAGGTGAAAGGTGTAAGAAGAGACAAAGAAGGACGTTACACAGTACTGAAAGGAGGTGTTCACCCGAAAGCTGTAACACTGGTAAATGTCTGTGCACCCACCACTGGAGCACCGAAACATACCGCGGGGACACAGATCTCAAGGGAGAGAGAGACTGCAACACAGGAATCCTAAGGACCTCAACACCCCACTGACTCCTCTGGACAGATCATCTGGACAAAAAATAGAGAGAGACAAGATATCAACTATACCATTCATGAAATGGGTTTGACAGACATCTACAGAGTATTTCACTCAACTACCACAAAATACACATTTTTCTCACCCCCACATGGAACATTGTTTAAGACTGACCACATGACAGGATACAAAACAAGCCTTTACAAATTCTAAGGTATAGAAACTACATCTAGGATCTTTTCCAACCACGATGCAATCAAACTTAAAATCAACTATAGAGAGAGCTCACAAAAATTCACAAACACAAGAAAACTAAACAACCCACTTCTGAATGACTTGACAACTGTAGAAGAAATGAAAACAGAAATCACAAGGTTCACAGAAACCAATGATAACGAACAAACAAGTGCTATAACCTATGGGACACAGCAAAAGCACGCATTAGAAGGGAAGGTAGTGCCCATCGGTACTCACAAGAACAAAGCAAAAAGGTGGCAAATAGCCTAATGACGCAACTCAGGGAACTAGAAAGATGACAAAAACAAACAACAAAAAAACTCCAGGAGACAAGAAATAATAAAGATTCAAGCAGAGATAAATTAAATGGAGAATAAAAGAACAATACATAAAATAAACGAAACCAAAAGCTGGTTCTTTGAGAAGATAAACAAAATTGGCACACCTTTAGCTAGGTTGACCAAGAAACAGAGAAAGGACTAGGTTAATCAACTCAGGAAGGAAGCAGGTATTATTACAACAGATATAACAAAAATACAAAATATCACCAGAGAGTACTGTGAGCAACTATATGCCAACAAGCAAAAAAAAACCTAGATGAGGTGGACAAATTTCTGGACACATGTACCCTACCGAGATGGAACCAGGAAGAAACAGAAAGTCCGAATGGACCCATAACAAGCAATGAGATTGAATCAGGAATAAATAATCTCCCAACAAGGACGAGCCCAGGCCCTGATGGCTTTACTTCTGAATTCACAAAGCTTTGAAAGAAGAACTAACCCCAATTCTTCTTAAACTACTTCTAAAAATTCAAAAGGAAGGAACCCTCCCAAATTCATTCTATGAAGCCTCGATCATCTTAATTCCAAAACCAGACAAGGACATGACAAAAATAGAAAACTTCTGGCCCATATATCCCTGACGAAAACGGATGCAAAAACTCTCAACAAGATACCAGCAAATCGTATTCGACAACAAATTAAAAAGATTATACATCATAACCAAGTAGGCTTCATTCCAGGGATACAAGAACGGCTCAGCACATGCAAAATAATAAATGTAATATATCACATTAACAAAAGGAAAGATATACACCATGTGATCATATCAATTGATGCAGACAAAGCATGCGGTAAAATACAAAATCCATGACCAGCAGATGGCATAATGGTTGCGTTGCTGGACACCAATGTAGTCCACCGCGG